CAGAATTCAGAGGGAATTGGACTCTGAAGAAAAGAATGCCCAATTATAGGCTATAGGAACTCTCTTTTCCTTTTTTAAAAAAATAATTCTGAAGGTGAAAATAAGAGAGAGGTACAAAATGGAACCATAATTTGCCAGGAGGGCTGAACAGAAAGCCTTGTTCAATATCTGTAAGAGAGAAAAAGGAAGGAGAAAAATCAGTCAGAACAAGACACTGTTCTTAGTTTCAGCAGTATTACAAGATCCGGAAGGTAATCATGAGTATATTTTATTGTAACAAATATAGTCTTAGTCTCCTCACCCACCATGTCCTCTACTTACAAAGAAGGTTCTTTAAAAGTGAAGCCTCCATCCCTAAGTCTTATTGAGTCATTAATATTTCGTATAAAAGAATATAACATCTTAAACTGAAACCTGAGAGCAAAATTCAGACACAAGCATTCAAAGACAAGTATATTTTACAGCTGGAATATAATGAGTAGGAGAAGATTCTTATTTTCTCTTCCTTTTTCTTTTAGAAACGGGGAAGATTGACCAAGAGATTCACAAATACAACACCCCAGGATTCACCGGGTGCCTCTCCAGGGTCCAGTTCAACCAGATTGCCCCTCTCAAGGCAGCCTTGAGGCAGACGAACGCGTCCACTCAGGTCCACATTCAAGGCGAGCTGGTGGAGTCCAACTGCGGGGCCTCCCCACTGACCCTCTCACCTATGTCGTCCGCCACCGACCCCTGGCACTTAGATCACTTGGATTCAGGTAAAGTCAAAAGTAGTCTTGGCCAGATTGCTTTATTTTTTTAAACCTCAGTTTCCTCATCTGCAAATGGGATTAATAACAGAACCTGGTTGGTAATGTTGTTGGAGAATTAAGGGAGCAAAGGAACCTCTGAGCCCAGGAGTGCTTACACATATCAAACACTCAAAAGTTACCGCCGTCTTTCTCAGTGCCAGAAGTAAATAAGTCAAAGGTCAGGATCATGGGCATTATTGACATTTCATGCAAGTGATACTGCGATGCTTGAACTGATGTCTGCGACATGACCGTCGGATCATCTGATCAATCACTTTCTCACCTTTGCCTTTAGGACTCTCATTTGCAGTCCCACAGTCCAGGTGCTAATGTCAGAAGAGAAGATTTACCTAAAGCAGTAAGAGATTCAGGTCCCAATACTCTTTTTATTTGAATAATCCCATAGGCTTCCACATTTTTAAAAGGTGCATTGTCCACACGACATTGAAGGATGGAGAGCCCATGGTTCCCGCTCTCTGGTCCACCCAGGCTGACCTTGGGCAACTCAGTCACCTCTCTAAGCCTCTCCTTCACCCGTAAGGTGCAGAACAGGGTGTGACCTCTAAGTGACCTCCTCCACATCTAACATTCAGTGGGTCTCCAAAGCATCATATGAGCTGGCCGAAGGTAAATACAGGAAGGGGACAGTGGTGACAAGGCAGTGGGGGGGACCCGGGTTCCAGTTCCATCACTGCCTCTTACCAGCAGGTTAAATAGGGGCAGGTTCCTGACCTGCATAGAATTCTGAGTTCCACCTCATTGCCACCATTTTAGACTTGGGGAAACTGACCTTGTTCCTTAGAGAGGTGACCAAGTGCTAACGTGGGACAATGTATTTAAAGTATTTAGTGCAGTTATAGACATGTAGCAAGCTTTTAGAAAGTTTACCTGAATAATTTTAACAATGTAGTTATGATTATTGTTGCTATGATGCTTGACTGTCCAATAAAGGCTTCCAAATCCTGCTCTCACCCTGACTTCTAACTGGTAACAGTTCACCATGTAAGCATCATGTGTTTGGTGGCTTTTCACATATTCCGCCCCCTGGCCCGGTATGTATCAGGCTCAGTGCAGCTCTGGGGGTTGTGATGCATGTCAGGATTTGCAGAGCAAAGCTTTGTGCAGCTTTGAAAGAAACGACAGTCACCCCATAGCCAGAAGAGCCAATTTACAGATTAAACGATCCTCGTTGTTCCTCACACATGGATTCCTGTAATGGGAGGGCACCAAGTGCCAAGGGTACTTATGGAGAATTCCCTTTTATGCATGTTCTTAGGATTACACAGCAGGCTGGTTTTTCCTCATGGGCTGGTTTGAACAAAGAAAAGCATTCCTAATGTTGAAAGAAAAAAAAGTCAGAGTGAAAATAAGAGATGAGAAAAGACATATGTCAGAGTTACAAAGATTTCACAGATCAACTCCTCCCAGCACCAGAGTGGATGGAGACAGCCCATGATCTTTGAAATGCACAGGTTCTTAGGCTGTTACAGAAACTCATTGCATGAGGCCGCAGGCATGTGTGGTCAGCTGCCAAGAAGCTAGTTGCAGAAGCATTTAGATGCTACTTTGGACCAATATGAGCTCCTTTTCATTAAGCCTTAATTAGGAAAGTATTTGCTATCGGGTCTGTGAGATACAGCTTTAGGGGCTAGACAATAAGTGAGTTTGTTTTTTTAAAATCATGCTTCATGCATGACAATGTCATCCTTTTGATTGATGTAATGAAACTGTATATAGGGAAGAGTCTGTTTCAGTTGCTGTTCAAATCAAGGTCTGCAACCCAGATATTATGGTAGGCCTTTACTGTATAACATGAGGTCCTGTCTTGCCAGTGGGTTTCAGCCCCAGGCAAGTTCACTATGGATTCAGTGAGACCGAGGAGTGACAGTGGAACATTCTTGCGGTGAAAGGGTTTATTACCCAGCTTGTTCTCCCGGCAGTAGGTCAAGCACTAGAGTTATGTCTGCATCCAGCAGTCGGCAGGTCTGTAATCCTCCTCCATCTCTGCCCGGATCCGCCCAGAGCCCTGGGCCGAGATCTTTACATAGTGACTCAGCCAGTAATAACTTATTGCCTACGGAAGTAGTAACCTAGCAACAAGCCAGTTACCTCATCAGGTAGTTGAGGTTCAGGTGAGGATCCTGGCCTTGGGAACTTCACTTGATCCACACTAGACCCCTCCAGGATTCTCGCCTCACAATCGACATGCTCTCAGTTTTCCTCAGTGGTCCCTGTGCAGGAAAGCTGGAGCATTGTAGCCAGATTCCGCAACAGCAACAGAGGATAACAACGACATAGAGATAAAAACAAAATTTAAGATACAACAAAATTTTGATACAGGTAACAAAAGTTATAATAATCCTCAAGCCTGAGGAGGTTATTTCAGTTGTATTCAAAACCAGTTCTACTCAGATGAGTTCATGACACACAGTTAGTAGTGGTACGGATAGGGAGCTCCATGCACCCCAGCAAGTAGCAGGGTTTTTTTTCCTAGGGTGTGTGCCCAATCCACAAAGACCTTAAGGGCAATAAGACACGTGTTCTAATGACACCAACATAGGCAAATCTTGTCCATCAGGTACGATGCATACACGAGAGTGTGGTAAGACTGTAGCAGGAAGGGGGTCCCATCAGGTCTAGTATATCATAGCTTTACCCCTCTCCCTGTGGGGGTTACTGAAGGGTCTGTATATAGTGCTACTGGAGGTGCATGTACTGGCCATGATGATAAAACAAAACTCCCTGGTAATATGCTCCTACCTCCTGGCCATTCAGGATATACTACTGTGATCTTTGGGGGCCGCTCTGCTATTACTCCAGGAATACACAGGAGGCCAGCTTCCAGACCTTGTCCCCAGGGTGCCAGGAGAGCCAGCCATCATTGGTCCATGTGTCAAAATGCCCAAGGCCATGTCCCCTCAATGGAGTCTCCAGAGTTTAGTGCAATTGGTGCTGGCAGCAAGATACTACTTTGGTGGCCAAACCTCTGCTCCAACGATTCTTCCTTGGTTTGTACTTGCAGTTGTGTAGGGGAGGCAGCAATATGCATTAGCATGTCTACGGGGCTCAGGGCTCCCTTTCAGGGTTTCTTGTTCAAATGCCATAGCACTGTCCCTAAACGGACTGACCATCCCCACAGATTATTGGTGTCTGACTTCAGTCCAGATTTCAACAAACAGTTGTACCTCTCTATCATGCCTGCCACAGTAGGATTGTATGGTACATGTGTCTTGTCAGTGGGTTTCAGCCCTGGGCAAGTTCACTATGGATTCAGTGACAACAAACAATGACAATGGAACATTCTTGGGGTGAAAGGGTTTATACCCAACTTTATTCCCATGGTGGCAGGTCAATCAGTAGAATCCCATCCACTCAGAGCGAGTCTGCATGCAGCAAGCCGGTCTCTGCCTCTGGGCCTCTCTGCTCCCACAGCCACCTCAGCCTCTGTCCTCAGCACTGCCACCACTCCAGTCTCTGCTCTCCTGTAGCCATGCCACTGTGCCACCTTGTCACCCAGAGTACTGGGAGGAGCTCTTTATATAGAGTCAGTAGCAACGTATTGCCCACACGTGTATAGTGAGCTAGTCAACCAGGGCCAGATGAGAATCCTGGCCATAGGATCCTTCACTTTATCCACAACATGAAATTTCCATTTGATTCCCAACTGTTGCACCCATTCTTGTAGTGCATGTCCAGTAAAGTAGATGCCTTGATCACTCTTAATTACCTGTGGTCAGCCCTAGGCTGCAAAGAGATGCTCCAGGCCTCTTTTGGTTGTCTGTTGGTCTGCACAACTTGTAGGAAAAGCAACCAGAAGTCCGGTAGCTGTGTCCACACAAGTCATGGCATATTGGTACCCTTCTGACACAGGCAGAGGCCCAAAATAGTCTATCCGCCACCAGACAAGGGGTATTGGCCCCTTAGGTATTGTCCCATGTTGCTGTGAAACTCTGCTAACTTCTTCAAAGTCCCCCACTGACGGGCTACAGCCCACATTTTCTTTTGCCCTGCATGCAACAAACACCAATATAACCACTGGGCTATATCAGAAGCAGGCTTTCCTTCTAACCAACGTATCTGGGCCAGTTCATCTGCCTCATCATTTCCTGGGGATGCCAGGAGCACATGACCTGTCACATGATATACTGTAACTGTTTTAGTCTGACCATAGGTCCATAAGTCTCGCCACAATTCTTGGCCCCAAAGGGGTTGGTGACCAACCAACCAGTTGGCATGGTACAATATCGGTAGCCACAGGGTTAAGCCCCGATAGATGGCCCAGCTGTCAGTGCAGACAACACTGAGGAGGGCTCCTGGCTGATCACAAGCCACAGTGCCCACAACTCTGCCCATTGACTGCTCTTCCCCTCACTATCTTCCATCCATATTGTCTCAGTCTTAGGATGGAAAGCTACAGCCTTCCATTTTGGGGGCTTCCCACAGCTGGAGCCATCTGTGTACCATGCATCTTCGGGTATAGGGGCTCTTCCCTCCCAGTAGGGACTCTCTGCTACTAATGGTTCTGAAGTAAATTCTTCCTGTTTTTCACTAGTATATGTCACTGGCCCCAATAAGCATTGGAGTTCTCCACTCAAGCAGCTATTACAGAGGGCACTACACTGCTATAGGTAAGCACCCCACTTAGCCAGTGTGAGTGTTTGTGCCACATCACTCTTTGGCTTTTGGGTTCAGTCTCATACCCACCCCAAGATGGGATAGGTGGTTATTACCTTTATCGGGGTGAGTCCAGTGATGGGTTCTATAGCCAGCAAGGTGTGATACATGGCAGTCAATTGTTTTTCTATCAAAGTGTATCATACCTCTGCTCCTTTCCAGAGTTGCAACCAGAATCCAATAGTTTGGCAAGTTCACTCAAGCCACTGCCAGAGACCCCAGCCATAACTGTCTTCAGTCATATGAACATCCAGCTCACAGGGCCTTGATGGATCTATCACACTCAAGGCCCA